TCAAATAACAAGTAGTAAGAAGACCAAGTGAAGGAACAGCTCTTACCAGTGAATGAACACCCAGTAAAGGAACACTTAATTTTGGTTATTTTTTAATGCTCTTTATGAATTTATAAGCCATACAAATATTTAAAAACAAGCCTATTCTTGAAATTACAACATATAAATATTTGTAAAATGTTAACTTTTTTTTGTATTCATGAATTGAAAATTAAAGTGTCAACATATTAACACATACTGTTCATTCACAGGGAAATCTATGCCCAGTAAAGGAATATGCCTGTTCCCTCACTGGTTAGAAGTTGTTTTTCGTATTTTAAACATGTTTTTGATGCGGAACATCATTTAAGGTACAGGAAAATTAAAGTTTATCTTTTATTTTCATTAACTTAAAAAAAAAACCTGTAAAGGAACACTTGTTCCTTCACTGGTTTTTCATCGTTTGGTGATCCAGTGAATAAACACCCCCTTATCTCGGTACTTTATTATGCTATGATGCCTAAAAAAAAATAAACGTAACTTCAATAACTATATTTTTAATTCTCTTTTTCACAGTGAGAAAAATAAAACTACTACATGCAATTAATTCCACTTCAAACATATAAATACAAACACTCATCTTATAATTTTTCAAAGAAACAAGGTGTTGCAGATATAATTACAAATTCAAAAATTTTTCCAGAGAAGTCTATTTGACCAGGTAATCCAAAATTGTTTGGCAGTAAGCTATTGTTACCAATCAATCTAAAGAAAAACTTTAAAATTCGTATTTTTAATCAATATGTATGAAATGTTCCTTCACTGGTTGGTTTACCCTATGCAGATTTTTGTGTCACGTTATCTTATTTTTTTCGCTTTACCTTTCCCCACTCCTATTATGTTCCTTTACTTTATTTATTTATTTTTTTTTGAAATGTATTTAGGATTTCTATCAATTAAATGATAAGCATTGAAAAGGATGAATGAGATTGAAATTTTTACCAAATGCTCGGTAACTAACAACAAGATATGAATGACTCCATATTATCCAAGTAATTGATAAAACTCGAAGACCATGGAACATGTGTAGAGTATCTGGATTCTTGTCGACCTTTAAAAGTCTAATGGTGTTTGTGTATGCAGAAAAGCATAATAATGCCTTTATTGCTGCGCCTGGAATTAAAAATAATATTAACGTGTTACTTAATGTGCTGATGATATATGAGTAATATATTTTTAAAAAAACTTACTCTTGTTCTTTGTTTGAAAATCATGCTTTGGTTTATTTCTGAAAATAATCTCCAATAAGGTTCCCAGTACCAGCAAGCAGATTAAAACGATGAATAATGCGCTGAAATAGATAAAATTGAAAGTTTAATCAGTTATTTTTTGTTTACATGACTTTAATAAAATTTTTGCAGTTTTAGGCTGATTTCCACAATATTTTCAATGCGCATTTCAAGGTATTGCGTACAACGGATCAGATTAAATAAAGATGCATTCATACCTCATGTGTAAGTGTCAAACGTGAAGATTGCTGATTAGAGGCGAATATGTATTGAAAAATTCTTTTTTTTTAATATTTTACTTTTTTTGTATAGTATCATTTAAATCAGTATGGATTTTTCTAGGTGGAGTAAAATTACTGTTTCAAAAAAAGAAATGAGGTCATGACGACATAACAAGTAAAATCTGAATTGCTGCGCATAAAATAATTCTGAGAAATTGTTTTAAATTAATGACGTATAAAAAAGGACTTAAGAAACTATGACAGGTAAATAAAAGTGCTCTAAAAGTTAGCGAACAGAAGCAAATAATTTTATATTATTCATTTCATCTTCCCTGTAAGTTCCTAAAAGTATTCAGCTAACACAAGCATACATAGAAAAGCAGTACAACGAGAATAACAATCATATAAAAGAAGCAGACAATTTGGTTCTTGCACTTCAAGAAGAAGAAGATTACGGATACCCACATATGTGACCTATGACGTCAACTCCAGCTGACGTCAACTCCAGCCGTTTTTTTGTTTTGTTTTTTACGTAAGAAAGTGTAAGGAATGTTTTCATGGAGGATCGATAGGAACAATACGAAACAGTGAAAGTAGAAAAAGATACGAAATCGCTACACATCGCTGAAGAGAATCCGACATCTATCATCTCTGCATCCTCTACACGATTCTTTTTTCTGGTTCACAGTCAAAGGGATACATACTAAAGGTTACCTGTCATACAGGCTGTGAAATGGATGCAATTTACAGATCAGTTACGCCACTGTCGCGAACCAATTACTTTTGGCTAGTGGTCTCAAATGACGGTCTTGAGCAGGCATTGTTGAACTTTTGTGGCCTTGACCAGGTCTGCAAACCCCTGTTCCTACCTCTGAGAACTGTTTTCACAGAGGACAACATATTTTTTTAAATCCTGAGGGCCCCTACTACAGGTAGTTTGTGATGGGCCAGCCTCCAGTTATCCAACTATCCTCCAATTCGTAGCATCGTCTAGACTATGACTGGCCATACTTACGATGGGTAAACAAAAAAACTCAAAAAACAAAAATTGGGCTAAGCTACGATACGTCAAAACGTTCTTTACAAGCTCCAGAGAGCAAATTAAGTACCTCTACACTGATGCGATCACAGTGCCACTACGCTACTACATCATTGGCGTGGCAAAGTAGTCTTCGAAGATAGTCTGATAACTTATTTGTGCAAAGGCAGTACTTATTTTGTTCTATTTTAATTTTTTAAAAAGCGTTCCTCTTTATTGTTTTTAACTATATATCTGCTTTCCTACTAAATTAGTCAGTTGACATTTAAGTCATTCAAAAATCAATTGTACGTTTGTAATTACAATGTATTTTACCATTTTATATTATCAAGTATGTATTGTTTGTTTTTATATACGCTGTGACTTCGTATGACCCATGTCATACCACTTTTCAGAGATATGTCTCTGTTTTGAACCAAATCTTTTTCCTCATTTTCTTTTCTCAATTATCTTTCCCGGCCTAATATTCCTCCAACTTGAGAAACATTTAGTTGTCGCTGGCTGCCAAATTCGCACAACAGAGTGGAATGTGATAGTCACCTATTGCAACCAATGCAAAAAAGCAACAGTTGTGCTCTGACTGACTACAAAGTGAAAATTAGGTTTAGTGTAATCTCGTAAACATAGCAAAGAGCTGGTATGACATGAGTATGCAAAAACTAATACAGCATCTACATGAAGGTATCGACCAAAGTGGTTATTATGTCGGAAAAAAGTTTAATCCTCTAAAGTCTAGACTGGTGTAATTTAATTTGTAATAAATAAATCAAATAATTTTTTGTGTTTCAAAAATGTAGGGAAGTTTAGTTTTTGGAGTCCCCTTGTATATCTTTTTCAGCAGAAAGTAAGCATGAAAACAATAAAAAGAAAAGTTATACTTACTAAATAAAAATCTCCATGGCTGTAAGTTCCAGTTCTTCTTTAATGTGACAATGTCGTACAATTAGTTGATTTTCACTCTTCATATACGCCGAAACTTAAATGAAATAATTTAAAATTTTAAATTATAAACGATTATATAGATAAAAGGGAAAAATTATATTTTATTTCTCCATAAATCTATAATATAAAAGGACCCGGACAGTATAACAATCCACTTTTAAAAAGTTTTCGGCTGAGTATTTTTGGAGGAAAAAATTTCAACAATGATACATTTGATGCAAAAATGTCAACTTTGGAAAAAGTTTGGTTGGCCATATATTGCTCAAACCTTAACGCTTTGTAGCTGAACTCAAGTAAGCTATTAACTTGTGCAGATGTGCGAACGATGTATTAACTTTTTGCATTCGATAGGTACCTCCCAGTCACCAATAATGAGGCATACTCAGAAATGCTAACTGCTCCAGATTTAACAAATATATTAGAAAACAGTAGAGAACAACAAACTAAAAGTTGCAGATTTTCGGTAAATTCTGACAAATTTTTCAAAGGATCAACACATAGACTTATAATATAGATAGACTACTCACGATACATTACATTCAGAAAGCAGCAATCTCATCACGTGACTCGTTTCCGGTTCGCGACTATCCAAAGCTTTTAAGACCCGCTCTCCTGTCAGGGGTGAAAGCGAGACGGAAAAGAGGAAAGGCTGGTAGTAAAACCTTTTCAGTAATAACTAGTTTTCGGGAGGAGCTAACTTAATCTTTTTAAAACTATTCAACAATATCTACTTTATCCCAGGAAAATAAGCAGTTTTATATATAGACTAAAATTATAAAAGAAATCTTGATAGTTACAGAAATTTTATTTTTCTCAACAAAAAAATGCTAAAATAAAATGTCTTTCGTACCAGTTTTTGAACTTTTCCGTCTCGCTTTATAAGGGCTTTCAGCCATGTCACCTGTTAGGCGAATTTTTTTTCCATTAGCCGGCGTGATTCTTGACTTCGTCACCGCGTGAAAGAATAGAGGGGAGAGGTTCTTTCTTCTTAGAATAGAAAAATTTTGCTTTCTTTTTCTTTCGCACTGTTGATGTCAAAACTGCAATCGCTTTCTCTCTACAAGTCTAGTTTCCCCATTCAGTCTAGTTTCTCTATTCGATAATATATTTCAGAATAAGTTTTCCTTAAAATTTACGCAAGTGATTACTAAGTGCCCCCCCTTCTTTGCTATCTAAGCGACAATGCAGTTATGTGTCGGTTAAATTACATACAGCGTAAGAGCTAGTTACACTTTAACCTTCTTACCCCTATTTTAACCTCCTTCATTTCAGAAGAGATCTTTTTCCCCCAAATGTTAAAATCTGGTCACTCAATTATTTTATCATTAGTTTTAATATTGAGGAAACATAACACAGGGCTGCCTTCAGTGGCGCATTTTGCTAAATATCTCATAGAATGGTAAACAATTAAAAATTAAAGCATTCAGAATTACAGTTAATTTCGCTAAAATTATCAAACCCTCAACAAAAAAGAATGAGGAAAGCACAACAATTACTGTGCTTTCTGCATAAGTTTTAAAATATTGGTATCGGATTAACCCTTTCGCGCCGAATGTCACAAATACGTGCCAGCATAATACCGTATCAATCAGGGTAAAAAGATAAAACTGGTAATCAAAGTATTCCTTTAGCAGTTTATTTGTGTGTGGTGTCATAATTGTTTGATTTATTTATTTCACCATTACTTTGTTCAAAATAAAACTATTTAGTTATACTTTGAAGTAACACTGATTTTATATATGATTAAACTAACACTAATTAAAGTAAAAGCAAAGTAAATCTGCCAAATTAGCAACGACTACATTTAAGTCGCCGTTTTTTTATTTAATTACAACTTCATTCTGATTTTGTACGAATGCTTTTCTTAATCACCCGTCCCCAAGGGGTTAAATAGTAAAACTTGTAGAATAAGGATCATTAGGCCTACTCTTTAAAAATTTTAACACGAGATAAAGGCAATGAAGTTGCATTTTATATCATACTTTTTTGATTTGTGGTGTTGGAAAAATTACTTAAATTGAAAAATACTGAACTAAGAATACCTTAAATGTCGTTACCACTAGAGAGTAATTTTTATATACTACAGAGTGTATACTATATAGCATTTTTTTTTAGAAACGCAGCAAGTTGGCATCTCTGAAAAACATGATCATCAAAATTTATCTATTTATTATTTTTAATTATCCAAAATGTATCTTATTAAGCCGTTTACAGCCATTTTCGCATCCATCTTGATGTTTTAACTTTAAGGTATTATTTTCTAGCATCTGGAATGCAAATCGGAGTGAAAGGAAAATTATATATTTTGCATTCCAGATTAAGATGCATCGCTGCAAAAATAAACAGCCATCTGTTCTGAAGAACATGAAGCTGGATGCTGGATATTGGGGTTATTTCGGCGTTTGGCGCGAAGCGCCACTAACCGATTCATCGATTCTGTTTTGTCGTATTCTAGGAGGTTCTAAATATCTTTGAAGTTGTAGTATGTTGTAACGACAAATCAAGTCCTTAAAGAAGTAAATCTTTAGTTTTGAAGTGAAAATCATCTTTGGAATGGGGAGATCCCCTAGAGTAGAGTTGTATGATAAAGTTAATAGTATTTTGATAGTATGCAGTCTGAGCATAAAAAGGCGGTAATTGGGCTGAAATTCGAATTATCACGGATTATATCAATATCGAACAACTTATTGAAATCTGATGCGGTGCATGTTTTTGCGGCGCTATAAAATTTTGTGGTCAATTTAGCTATAAAGCAATTGATATCATCAATGTTTAAGTCTTTTCTGAGTAATCTATTGCTAATCGCCATTGGGGCGCCAGTCATTGTGCGTAAAATTTTACCTTCAGTTGTAGATTGCTTCTTTTTTAGGTTGTTGCTTATAGTAGTGAGGGCTGGGCAAGCATGAAGAACAGAAACGAAGAAGTTTTCAATATGAATTTTTGAATCATTCACTTGTAGTGGTGTAGAAATTAACTTTAAATCAAATTTATTACACAAAGGATCATACTTTAGCCCTTTCGCGCATCATCATCATCATCGAAATATAACTGGGCGCCTGGGGCCGTTAGCGGCCTTTTTCCCATTCATCTTGTATTTAATCTTTAACCCCTTGGGGACGGGTGATTCAGAAATGCATTCGTACAAAATCAGAATCAAGTTGTAATTAAATAAAAAACGGTAACTTAAATGTAGTCGTTGCTGATTTGACAGACTTACTTTGCTTTTACTTTAATTATTGTTAGTTTAATCATATATAAAATCAATGTTTATTCAAAGTATAACTAAGTAGTTTTATTTTGAACAAAGTAATGGTGAATTAAATAAATCAAACAATTATAACTCCGCCCACAAATAAACTGCTAANTTATAATTTTTTGATTTATTTAATTCACCATTACTTTGTTCAAAATAAAACTATTTAGTTATACTTTGAATTAACATTGATTATATATATGATTAAACTAACAATAATTAAAGTAAAAGCAAAGTAAGTCTGTCAAATTAGCAACGACTACTTTTAAGTTACCGTTTTTTATTTAATTACAACTTGATTCTGATTTTGTACGAATGCTTTTCTGAATCACCCGTCCCCAAGTGGTTAATGTCTATCCCTTCAACGTTGATGAATGAACTAATAGCTGTAATAAGCTGTTGCAGATGCCTGGTTCATACTTGCCAACTCTTCCAGTTTTCCCTCAAGATTTTATTTTCATACTAGGGCGCTAATCCTCTTGTTCGCTGCCGCTCACCAACGCCGATGATTGCTTCTTGGCAGAAAACAGTTTTTCTACTAAAGTTAAAATTATTCACTTAACATATAGTACTAAAAGAAATTATGTTTGCTAACGCTTGTGCCCCCACTCCCCACATCCAAACATTACTATCTATTAGTATTACAAATATTTAGATCTATCAGTGAACATAAGTAACTTTTCTAAGCAATATTTTTTTTAAATAACATTTATATTATAACACTATATTGTTCCAACAAATTTGATGAGTTCACTCCCTTAATTTAATCCCGTAATACTTTCGCTTACCAAACGGGCGGATATATTAAGTACTATTTTTGCTTGTATCTCCTTGTGCATGAAGCTGAGCGTTAAGTACTAAATCATTTAACATATCTCTTTAACTGTAATTAATAACAGTATATTAATATAGCGGAGGCCAACATGTGCCAAAATACAACGCTACCTATAATTTGTTTTTTATCTTATTTTATTTTTTATTATTTTATTATTGTACCACTTAATGGCAACTTCTATAGTTTTTAGTTTTTCTTCTCTGATGTGAAATAAATATATAGTTCTTTTTCCTGGTGTTTTCTAGTACGTCAATTTTTATCCATTTACACGTAAATACAAGAGAGGGTAAGTTAATTTTCCCTTACCCTTCAATTAATGTCATTCGCACTAAAATAATAATTGCAAAACGGTTAATAAGATTAAACCATCTTTCTGAGTAACTTCATCTTAAAATGTAGCACGGAATTACATTATAATTATAATAAAACTACAATTCTCTTTGTTTTAAACTCTTGAATTAAAAGCGTAATAATACCAGTACAGGAAAATACCTTGAAATTAGGGATACAAAAATATATAGAGAGAAACAATACCTTTATGACTTTTATGCTGATGACTACCAAAATAATATGGAAATGAATGAGGAAAAACTGGATCCTACCACGTGATTTTCCGGTCAATAAAAATGCACGGACAACGATGGAAAACCTTGAGACCATCATTAGATTTTTATATATAGCAAGATTTAATGTGGTGCACAAATTTAAGGATCATATTTTATTAGTCATTAAATAAATACACTTTAAAATTATTTTAACTACCATTACATTTAAAAGTAATAATTGCTTGCTAAATTTTTACAAACACATACATAAAATCTGATTATCCCTTGGGACGTTGAGGAGTAAGGTTGTGTTGTGACCAAGCTCCCGTGTTACTATGTCTTCATACCACAGATTCGGCAGCGGCAGCAAACGAATGTTTAAGCAAAAGCCGCTTCCCATCTCAGATCATGATGAGATCAGAAAGGATTGCTAAGCAGCTGCTGATAAAAAAGCAACTCATGACAACATAGATAAGATGATCAACTTCTGCAGAAATGCCAAAGAAGAGTACAAAGGATACTGCAAAAGATTTGGCGAAAACTTCGAGATTCTCTACGAAAACAAATTCTAAATGGAATATTTACTCGAACGCTACCAGATGATTAAAGAGCAATGGAACGAGAAGGAATCAACTATGCCTGAGAAAGCTGAAAAGAAAGAAACTACTATCATTGAGACTGAAACTCCCCAGAAACCTGAACCTTCTTCGACGCCGGTAGAAAAGATGGATATCCCAAAAGCTGAAATTACTGATACAACACCCAGCATAGAGACAACAGACTCCTACAGATATGGATATAATTGAAACTCTGGGCTGTCCCGAAAAGAAGAAAAAGCTAAGGAAAAAGGAGCTCAAAATATGCGTCAACACGGTGATGCATGTCGACTGAGACGGGAAAGGAAACCACCCAGACCCAGGATTAGCTCTCGCAACTCCAGCGGCACCGGCAGAGAGAGAGGAGAAAACCGAAGCTTCGGTGAAGGCTGACCCTCCCGTTCCAACCACATCTACAGACTCCTCACCGAGTAAAAAGCTTAAGACCCTAATTAGAGGACTGAATATCGACACCGATTCTCAAGAATTGGAAAAATATTCTCAAAACTTTGGCTTTTTTTCCCTGAAAAAATAGTTCAACTCAAGAGAAGGAGTGAGCAGGAGCTTATGCCTCTCCCACTGTTTCTGATCATCCAATCAGATTCCAGCACGAGCAGAAACATTTTTAACATCAACTCAATGCTAGAGAAGCCAGTTAAGATCGAGCGTTTCCGAGGGGGACGCTATCAGATTCAGTGCTACCTGTGCCAACAATTCGGACATACTCAACGAAGCTGCCCCACATCCGATCCTGCCAGCATGACATGCGCCGGCGCACATGTCTCTAGTTCCTTTGTACGAAACCAAGAACAATCCTGGCGACCTGCGTCAACTGTAACGGTGAGCAGTCAGCCTGTTTTACTGGCTGTGGTGCAAGACCCAGGAAACTGCTGAAAGATAGAAAGACCCATCCCAAGAAAACCACAGATACTGCCAGTCATTTTTACGGCTATTCAAGGAGATGAAGGAACTGCTAGACGATGAAGAGCTTGTTAAACTGCTTCGTTCTCTTCTCCCAGAGACCCAGAACTACACGTGGCTTTCCACTACATCCAAGATCTCATCTTTCCTGACTTCCACAGTTTCACACTGTGTATTACTTATCTTTTCATTTTATTCCACTATAGGCACACATGACTTATAGCATCAGACTATCCAGAATCGACGTATCGTATAGTGGTGCTTCACGCTAAAAGCCGAGATAACCCTAATATCCGGCATCCTACATAAAATCTCAACCTCATTGGTTTTACTCTACCACTAGGAAACATTATTTTGAAAAGCATTTAAAGTTGGAAAGTAAGCTAGGGGATGAATTTTTTCGACCGAGTTTGGCATCAGGGTCTCATCTTCAAGCTCATTCAACTGAAATTCCCAACTGGTATCATTAAAATAATACAGGCCTACTTACATAATAGAACCTTTCAAGTTAATTTTAAAAATATGAAATCAACAAACAGAAAAATAACAGCAGGAGTACCTCAAGGAAGCATCCTTGGGTCCATACTATTCATATTATTTACCTACGACTTTCCCATCGACAGACAAGACTTTAACAGCATCACAGCACTTTTCGCAGATGATACAGGAATTGTCGTGAAGTCCAAAAATCCCAACATTGCCTTACAAAAACTCCAAGAAAAGATCACAGAAATAGAAACCTGGTGCCTAGACTGGAAGTTTAAAGTAAACGGCCAAAAATCGAAACTACTAATCATTCAACATAAAAGAAAAACGATCCTCCCTAAAAATCAAGTTGTACTCTTTAACGAAACGATACCCATAGTCAAAACAGCAAAATATCTTGGTCTGGTCATAAACAGCAAATTTAATTGGAAAGATCACGTCAAAACAGTCATCAACAAAGCACAAACAGCCTGCCACAGATTACAAATCCTTCTTCAGAACCCTAAAATGGAACTCAGACTTAAACGTTTACTTTACATCTCGATGATCCGTCCCATCCTGACTTATGCATCTCCAGCTTGGTGCAACATCTCTACATCACTCCTTAAAAAACTCAAAATATGCCAGAACAAAATCCTCAGGAAAATAACAAAAGCAAGATGGTTTATCCGCAATAAAAACATACATAGCGACCTCAACATAGATTTTTTAGATCATCACATTGCAAAGCAAAACTTCAGATTTTTTGAAAAGACCATATATTGTGACACCGCAGGATTCAACGAAATTTTTACGTTCGAAAACTTAAGAGAAGACATAAACCTCAGGCCGATTGCAGCTCATTTTTGTAGTGACATAATTTTAACTAAAATACAAAATATTTGATTTCCTTTTATTCCAATTACCAGAAAGAACCACCTTAAAGATTAAATACAAGATGAATGGGAAAAAGGCCGCTAACGGCCCCAGGCGCCCAGTTATATTTCGATGATGATGATGATGGTGATGAATTTATTTTACCTTTTTATCTTATTTCATGATGTATGGGATACGAGGCTTCTGCGCGGCCCTGGCGCCCAAGTTTTTGTAAATAATGGAAGAAAGAAAGAAAGTTGATGAATTATCTCAGTAAATGTTACTGAACCCCAGCTTTTCCCACTCAGACGAATTAGTTAGAGTTCCCCGCGGGGATGACGCTAAGATTTCTACCACATATAAATATGAGTAATTGATGAATCATTAATTATAATTTTTCAAAAATGATAAGAGTAATGTACGAAAATACATAACTGATTTAAATAATATACTATTACACTGTTTATAACATCACTTTTTTACGTTATTGACAATTAATATTTTGGGTGTCTTTGGATTAAGACGATTGCTGTTTCTTATTATCATGTTGACACCTTTTTGACTACATGTGAAAATTAATTTAGTAGTAAAGTTACGTTGCAGGTATGCAAACTTTTTCTACAAGTTAGACTAAACAATGTTGAATCAATGCAAGTTAAAAACGCCGATATTTTATTTTTAAAGTTACTGTTTCTTTTTTTTCTTTTAAAAGGAATTTCTTTTTTGGTAAATTACGGTATGCCCTATTTCGTTATTAAATAATTAAATAAAAAAAGCATACAGAAATAACTTATTTTACAAACCGCTAGAAATCAAGCCTCTTACGTCTTCTTTTGAACAAGTTGAAGGGAGACAGGCATTTAAGCGTACTTGAGCAGCATAGAGATAATTAGCCATTTTTGCGAAGGTATCAGTCAACTAGAATAGTTAAAAAAAATAAACATGGAATTTTTTAAGATCTTTTCTCTAAATCTTTTAAAAAAATATTATAAATAGACTAGGAGGAAAAACTGTTTATAACGTGTGCAGAGGTGCCATCTGCTCCGGACGCGCCATAATTATTTATTAAACAGTAAACAACTACAAATTAAATTGTGCAAATATTCTAATATTGTGACTAATTTGGCTTACTTTTTGAACAGTGTAGCAAGACTTAACTGTTCTTAACTTGACATAAGGTGGAACAAAGTACCTGCTCGCGAAGCAAGCATCTCACTTCTTCATCTGTTACGCTTCCCTTAAGGCAACGGTGATTTTTGACTTTTAAAAGTTTGTAGAAGATTTCCACAGAAAGGCAGCGGACGTCATGGGTAAGTAGGGCTTGGTGGGAGATCTCTGTGTCTATTTCTCGTCAGGTAGTAGAGATCTGAGGAGTGATACTAGATCCGGATCTAGAAATAACTGCCATAATTCCTTCAAGATCAGCAAGAATCTGGTGGCTGAGTTGGTGGTTTTTTCTGGCTCGGCTTGATTTCCTCTTGGCTTTCTTTTCAGTCTTGCAACGCAGCCTGAAAAACAGGCCGGGTGCTCACAAGAGCAGTTGATGCATTTTGCCGGCTCGCATATCGGTTTTGTACATGAGTACGTGAAAGTCTCATTTGGGGGGAAGTCTCATCTGTAGCCGGGGCTGGAGTTGGAGTTTCTCGCTGTATAGTTGTTGTGGTGGAGCCGTTATCCTTTTCTGGTTCGATAGTGGGAATCTTTTTCTTTTTGCGGTTCTTGGTCGGAGACTCTTTTAACTCGGATTCTGACTCCTTCTGTTGTTTGGTATCTGGATCTGGCTCGTGATTTGTCTCTATGTTGACAGGATCAATCGCTATATCAGGAGTAGTCTCCATAATCTCAGGATTATCCTCTGGAATTGGCTCCTCGAAGTTTTTAGAAGTTTCAACTGGTGTTATTGCATTTTTCAAAGCATTTAATTCTTCTATGGTGTAAGTGGCTTTGAACTCTGCATGTGTTTCCTTGGTGAGGCATTTATCTTTACATTCTTGTTCCTACATCTTATTATATTCATCTGATATGTCTTTCTAACTTGAGAGTGAAATCTGAATTGACTGGATTGTTCTGAAACCTCAAGGCGATAGTCCTCATCTCCTTCCTTGGTGCAGCATGATCGATGCTCTTTGTTGTTTCGCGAACTGGTCGGAAAACCTTCCACCGCAGCCGAATCGGTCACAACACTGCCTTACTCAGTGATATCTAATGCTCGAATCGGTGGTGGTTGACTTAACTGTAACAAATTGTATAAGCCTTCGAATAATTTAGAAATAATGGTGGATAAAAACCTTATTAATTGAATTTATTAAACCAAGATCACGCATTAATAAACTACCACTCGAAAATATTTATTTGCTGTCCGGAGCAAGTTGACATCTCTGCATATGGCTGCATATAGAATGCTCAAGCATTTAAGAAATATATANTATATATATATATATATATATATATATATATATAACACTAGTAAAAAGATCTTGCACTCTTTTTAGTCAGTAAATAATAAAGAAAGAAAGAAAAATTTAATTACTCTTATAACTTTTGAACGGATGGTTGAATTTTTATTCTGTAAAATGTTACTGCGATATCTTTAAAAAAATCTCCTAAATTATGTATAGCAGTTGACTGTAATCTTGACGGAATGCGTTAATTTTGACAGAAATACGCATTTTTCTGAAGTAACATGACTTTTTCTCAATCAAATTAGGATTTATCACCCTCAAAATAAGAGGATTTGAGAAAGTTTTAAAAAGTTGGTATTAACAGTTTAACCACTATAAATCGCTCAAATTTGGATTAATATTATTACACTAATATTATACTAATTTGTCAAATTTTTCCTCATAGCTTTAAATTGATTTGGTAAATTATAATATTTCTGATGCTAAAATTTATAAACTCTAGGCCCAAAGACAAAAATGTAATCTGGTGAGGCATTTGGAGATAATAAACTTTATTAATTAATTTGTTAATTATAGAAAAACATTTTTGAATTGTTAGGCAGACTTTTTCATTTTTTTAAAAAAAATTTCTAGTTGTAGCCATGCCTTTGTTTCAATACATTATTTTTTATTTATGTAAACTTATTTTCCGCGCCACTTCATCCCAATGATTAAAAAGTTCGTATGCAAAGTCACTTTACTAGCTTTTTATTGGTGGGCTTTTAAAGTGGTGGCAAAATTACAAAAAATTCTGAAAGCTTTCGTTTCTAAATGTCTACCACTCTATAAAATATTTTGTAAAAAGTTTTTTAGTCGGCAAGCCTGGTTAGGTTTATAAACTTTACATATGCAAAATTTTAAGTAATTTTCCACCNTCAAAATGTTTTTTAATTCAACTTGTAAATACTTCATGATGAATGGGTTAGGGGCCGCTGCGCGGCCCAGGCACCCAGTTTTAGTTAAATAAAGAGAAAAGAGAAATTTTAAGTAATTTTCCACCACTATATATAGAAAACTCAAAGTATCATATGGAATGCAATTTTTACCTCCAGAGGAGGCGAGGCAGTCTGCAACAAAACCATCTTCTCTCTCTTAAATTTGTTTGTTTAATCTCGCTACTTTATTTTAATTTTCTCTCAGTAAATGATACTGAAGCCCAACTATCCCCCTTCAATTGCATTTCGGCGATTTATTATTCATTCCCACTCAGATGAATTTGTTAGAGCCCCTCGCGGGGCTGATGCTAAGATAACCACCACATGTGAGTATGAATAAAGCAGAGTTGGCAGCTGATCAGCTCTCTGAAAAATTTCACTGAATAGGTAGCGAATTAAATAGTAAAACTTGTTTAACCCTTTCGCGCCGACTGTCACAAATACGTGACAGCATGAAACCGTATCAACCAGGGTAAAAAGATAAAGCTGGTAATCAAAGTAATTCTTTAGCACAGTTTATTTGTGGGCGGAGTTATAATTGTTTGATTTATTTTATTCACCGTTACTTTGTTTAAAATAAAACTATTTAGTTATACTTTGAATTAACATTGATTATATGTATGATAAAACTAACAATAATTAAGATAAAAGCAAAGTAAGTCTGTCAAATTAGAAACGACTACATTTAAGTTACCGTTTTTTATTTAATTACATCCTGATTCTGATTTTGTACGAATGCTTTTCTGAATCACCCGTCCCCAAGGGGTTAACAAGGATAGTTACTTCTTCTTTTTGTAAGAGTAACCATTAGACTTGATATAACAATTAGAATTTTTGATGTGTAATGGTGAAAAAATTACTTCATATGCAAAATAGTAAGCTAACAATAACTTCCATTTCGTTAACACTAGAAAATATTTTTTAACAAAGCAGAGCATGCTGGCATCTCTTCTGCAGTTACCTCGTAGTGGTACTTTTAAACAGTGAGAGTTATTATTCTTATTCTGCACTTTTTATTTTTTAATTCGCTACCAATTAACCCTTTGCACTCGAAGTTCTTTCAACTATTAAAAAAATGGAAGCAACCACTAATATTTTGAAAGAATTTTTGCAATCTTACCTTGTAAAATCCAAGGATCACTGAATGAAGTGGTAACTAAACATTAAGATGAAAAAATTTTCACAATTAGAGTGGTGGGTAATTTACAGGTGACGGTGGAAAGGAACGCGGAAAGCGGAACAGTTGGCAACTCTGCATTGATTCCTAAAATTTAGATATGCCCTTATTTTTAAAGAATTTTCATACATAACTGGTACATAATTATCTTCATTCAATTGACATTTCCTTTTCCTTAAATTATGTGTTTTAGTTTTAAAATATTCTTTCAACCATCTTCATTGCTTATAGCTTAACAGATTCATTTAAATATATTTAAATTCTGGAAAATTCGTAATCAGAGGATTTAGTGTTTAGAAATAAATGCTAATGAAATATTTAAAAGCTGTATATGAATTTCAAATGTTAACAAAAGTAAGATCAATTTCTCTACTTAGCTGCCAACAGTCAAAATTTTTCTTATTAAAAATATTAAGATTATTTGATTAAATGTTGTATAAATGGCTTTTAAGAGTTGGCTGAATTTTAACGTAGAATCCAATTTTAATTTATTATTCTCTACCACGAGGAAAACACATTTTCGAAAAGCATAAATCAGGGACTAAAAATGTAGAATGTGGTAGAAACTCAATTAATTTTTATTCATTTGTTATCTTTTTAATTACTCAATCATAACTAATACTACGACGTACATTTTTAATTATTAATATTCAAAACAATAACATTATTTGCTTTTATTTTCCCTAGTAAACAGAAATAAATATGCTTTCTAAATTTAATTTTTTCCCCCAAAATTTTGAAGTTTATTAGCCCCCACTTTTTGAATTTTCGGTTGCAGTAGCAACCATGGTAAAAGTAGGTATGTATGAAATGATATCGGGATTAACCAATCATATGTTACGTTAAACAAAGACTCGTTTAAAGATAGGCTATTTACTGTGCCAGGCTCAAACAGTGTATCAATAATTTCTATTGGCTTTTCTGCTGGTGACATCATCTTTCTCTCCGGCAATGTTGGAACGAAATCAATATCGCAAAACTGTCCTTTAAATTTTCCACTTGGAGATTCTATATCAAGACAAGTCTCGAAATCACCAAACGCCGTGGGATTTCCACCAAACACCCCATTTGCTATTTTTCCAGATGAATCGAACACTAAAATTAAAAACAAAAATAAGTAAACAGTGGTAATGCAAAGTTGTTATTTTTTTTCAAATAAAAACGCAGAAAAGAATGTAGGGTTGAAAACTACAGCTTTTTGGAAAATATTTTATAAAATAGTAGACAATTAAAAACACAAGCGCTTAAAATTTTACGTAATTTTGTCAACATTTTAAAAGCCTCACCACGCGCGAGACCTGCCAACTTTCATTCTTTCGGAGGAAGTATTTCCCAAGTGGTTGTAAAAAACTATTTGAAATGCACTTGTAGATAAAATTAACTTTTCTCAAGTTCTATGGTTCACACTAATTTTCGTTTTTATTACTGACTCTTATATCTGTGATTGGTTTAATTGCATTTAGTGGCAATCAAAATCACATTAAATTAAATTTATAAATACAAGAATTGAAAAAAAATTTATTACTTAATACTACAGACAATCCTTAGTTGCTGGTTGTTAAGCCGTGCGAGAGCCGGAAGTAGCCAGCATCTCATATAAACTTTTGAATCATTTGAATGTTGAGGTGTTGGAAAAAACTTAAAATCAAACTTACAAAGTAAAGAATAATACATTAAAACATAAAATGAACTGCCACTAGAAAACATTTTCCTAAAATGTGAGGAAGTTGGCAGCCATGAGAATATATTTTCCAACGTTTTTTTCTGGCGCAATGGGTCCAATAGATGTGACAGTCTTGCTCTAAGAAAACATATAATTCTAAAAAATAATTTTTCATATAAACTTAATTACAGTATTAAAAAGGCTTCCTATGATTTTTACCTTGTTAGCAATATGCCTTTAAAGATAAAAATAAAACTTAACGCTGTTGCTTCCAATACATAAATATAAACATAAATTTATTACCTGGGAGCCTGAGGCCATAATCGGCCTTTCCCCTGTCATCATAAAATTTACCATTAAGGTAGTACAATGAAGTAATGAAAATATTTAAATATGTAATGGGAAGAGCTCACTTGATCTGTGTAATGTGAAAGTCTAAAAACAGTCTCTAAAGCTTAAAGTTGAAAAACGTCACAACGTCAACGGTAAGAATAATTTGAACTTGAACTGGTGTTTCTTACAGAGTGCCTGCCTGTCCGCGAAGCGGACAATTGACTCTTTCATATGAACTTGAGCCCGTGGGCGCCTGTAATGTTGACAATGGGAATACAATAATATTGCCGGAAAAAGAATAAGATCTTTTATTTACAAAAATAAAAACTGGTAGCATAATTATTTCATGTTATCTTGGTGAAGCATATCTGGTGCTGGATATATGTGTGATCTCGGCATTTGGCATGAAGAGCCACCAACAGATTCATCTTTACTTGTTTATCATTGTTTTATACACAAGAAAAGCTCGACACAAACAACAAAGCACCACACTTTACGACGACATGAACTGTATTTATTAAGAAAAGAGAAGTAAAAATGTATATGCATTTTAATAGCGCCATTTATTATTAAGTAGCAAGACGCTAACAATCATGTACTAACAAATCATGAAGATTAACAAACTTATGCTTAAGTGGGGAAGCATACCCAGGGATGCCAAATGCTGCTTTTCCAGTAAAAGATCTTAAAAAGTGGTATCGATTAAGGATTTAAAACTTATAACAATTTCCTCTATTTTGCTTTTACTATAAAAGGCTCACCACGAGATAAGATTGTTGTTGTTGTAGTTCAATTACGTCGCACTAGAGCTGCACAATGGGCTGTTGGCGACGGTCTGGGAAACATCCCTGAGGATGATCCGAAGACATGCCATCACAATTTTGATCCTCTGCGGAGGGGATGGCACCCCCGCTTCGGTAGCCCGACGACCTGCGCGCGAAGTCGAGCACTTTACGGTAGCACAGTTTAACGAGGACCAATACCGCACACCCTCGATCCCTACGCAGACTGATCCAAGTGGTCACCCACCCGCACACTGACCGCAGCCAGTGATGCTTGACTTCGGTGATCTGGTGGGAACTGTGTCTTAACGATCAGTCCACTGCGGGACCCACGAGATAAGAACCACAAAGTGTTGTTTCGTATAAGCTTTTGAATAGTTTGTATGCCTAACGTGTTTAGTCACAGACCGTAATATACAATAAAATCTCTCTAGAGCGACCACTCTCTGTTTCACAGTAAAATGCTCGTTAATGGAGAGAGGTCATTCTTAGGGGTTACCTGCATTTTTAAGGTTTATTTGAAGTCGACTTCAAAAACAACCTTAAACAATCAATCTCCCAAGCTTTATAATCACAATGTATACAGTTGTTTTGAGGTTGACATGAATTTACCTCAGAGCAAAAAGCCTTGAGAGCTACTTTTTGAGAATATTTTTTGTGCAAAACATAACCTCATTTTTTCTACCTCAAATATAACACCTGTCAACGTTAAATCAACCTCAAAAACATCTTCTTGTCTATATATACACAGAAGAGCAATTACATTATGACACCCTCCATCTATAGCAATGGGCTCGCCCAGGTTTTCATAGTTTCTCGCCCAGGAACAATGTTTTCATGGGGCACATTAGGACCCATAATCCTCATAGAACAATCCCTGACGTCTGTAAGCTACTTTTTGATGATTAGTACTCAGGTT